TGAGATAATGGGATATGAGCTTGTAAGCATGTAAGTCAAGTTACGAAACCACTTGTCCTAACCTTTCAGTTTAGGGTCATTAACGCTTAACCCCCCAGGGAAAGGAGAGACTGGGGTTGCGTAATCTGAAATGTCTGGTTTTGTTGATGAGCTTACTTTAACATTTTGCAAGAATGTGAGTGAAGTTAGAACCATCCCGGAGCAGACAAATTGAGTCGCCTTCTTTTTGCTGGCGGCTCAACACCCTCTCTCTTCTTCAATCTATCAATTAAGCATAAGTAATTGCTACTCAACTTTCTACCACCGTTCCTCACATTCAACGTTTTTCTCATGCTACTAATTTCAATAGCATCTATTATTTTTCTTTTAACCACAGATGTACCATAATTAGCAAGCCTACTTGTTTGAGAACATTATATTTCATGTCCTGTTTCTACCACGTGTTCGGCCACTTCTGACCCTTTAACACAGATCACTTTGCAAGCATTTTTATGTTCCTCAATCTTTGTCGAATAGGTCGGCATGTCTCACCCACATAACATCAAACACATGAGCGAACAATCTTGTAGAAGCTTGATCTCGATAATGGGACATATTTCTCTCTAAAAGATGGCATAGCCGGAGATAGTTCTTACTTAGTTTCCTACATTCGTTCCTCTTATTCAAGATGTTCTTTGCTTTATTAATTCCAATCGACTCCCTGATATTTCACTTAGCAGCAAAGTCCTTATATCCGACAAAATATTGGATTATATACCATTCTATCTGGTGTCCTATAGTGATCGTTTGTGCAGCCCCCTTCAATTTCTGAATCCATAAACCTTTGTAGGCGGGTTTGGGTTTTGTTAACCTCCTGTTTATAGATCAAGAGTCTCCCCCACATAGACGCTATCACATGAGCACAAAACCTTATAACAACCTGATATGCAGAGGGCGTATGAAGCATATTTAAAAGAAGGCATGACCGAAGTAAGCGTTATTATTTCTTTATACATTGTCTTGACGTTCCGTTTACTCAGTAATTCGCCTAGCTTTCTTGAAAGCCTACAGGATAGGAGCATTAAGAACCGGGACGAAAAGTTCTCTAGTTGCTTGTTTTGTCCAAAATAATGGTTTCCTTTCACACTATTTCTTAATATTTTGCAATTACTAACACTTAATCCTACAAGATAATTGTTCTCTACTAAGATTTTTCTTAGCCTTTCTAACTCCTGATCCTGATGCCTTATGTCCGCTAGACATAAACTACTTATATAGAAGCAGATTGATCTCATTTATGCAACTTGGTCTTGTTGCCAAGGCGACGTAATTGGACACACCTTGTCTGAAGTCCTCTGTCATAGTAGTTATAATAGTTCCATCTTGGTCTCCAAATTTTCGTGTAAACTCCTTATTATTTTTGAGTTCATTACTCCTACTCTAATTCCATAAGCATGATTCGAGAAGAAATTACTAAGAAAACCCGCATTTCTGGATTTAATATATACGTCTCTCTATATATGCCCTCTTAAATTAAATTTAAGGTATGCCAGTATCTATCTACTAAGGGATACTTCGAAACCCACCTTCTCTTCATCACGATAAAACGTGTTGACACTAAATTTTCCTGTATCCATAAGATACAGAAGCATATTTTAAACGATGATTGTTACTCATTAGGAGAACATACTCTAAATCTTCACGATCATGCTCTTGATCTTCCATAGGAAATGAATTACTGTAGTCATCATCTAAAATATCACAATAAATAAATAAATAATTGTATTCATCAAATAATATTAATTAAAGGCTTAATTAAATATTCTAGACAAAGAACAAATTAATGTAGATTTGTCACACTACTTAAGTAGTTGCTTCAACAGTGCCAAGCCTGGCGGATACTCGAGCTTTACTGAAACAGCGCTAATTTTCTTTGATAGTAAAAACATCTTATGGGATTCTTCTTCGTTCATTCCCTATACCTATGAAGGATAATATAATATTTTCCATATATTCAATGGCATGGGAGTACGCTAATCGATCGATGATATTAGTCTTGGCTCGTGAAACCGAAATATTGTGACATGACTTTCCATTTCGAAGGAAAAGTTGGTTAGAAGGGATTCGTGAGGTGGTATCTCCAGAAACCCAAGGATCGCCGCGTAGGGGAGATTGCTTAATTGTGCGAATACGTTTCCACCTCCCCGTCTTGCGGCTTAGATGAAATTATGCTAAGCTTTCGTCGGTATTGTGACATACTTCATCATAATAGGTATCTATACTTCACGAAATAGAGCAAAAATATATTAACCCAAGCGAAAAGATGGTCGGATACAACCGCTTTTTTATACACCTAACTTTGCGATCTGAATGAGGCATTCCAGTATTTGGTTAGCTACTTCAACCTTACTCTACATGCTTGCACTTAATGCTGAATCCTGTTTGGGTTTGTGCTATTGTCTATTGTGTGTATGCAATGTTCATGTCATGGGAAGTGTGATAGTCTTAGCTCGACTCGACGCTAATCACATCTCCTCTTGTTTAGTGGTTCTTCCAGCATGCCCTCTCATTAGGCATATTAAATAGCCACAAATAGTTCCTACTATGTTTTCTAAACTCGTTCATCCTATTCAGGACGTTGGCTATTTTGTGAATTTCTATAGACTCCCTAATCATACGCTTTAATATGAAGTCCCCGTGTTAGGCAAAATGTTGTGTTGAGTGTCCTGTATTGGTTATGTGTTCAGTGAACTCAGATTTTTGGACATATAGACCTTTTAAAGCCAATTAGTTGAAGGATCTTACCATGGATTTACGGAAGAGTAAAATGCTTTTTCATTATCTGTTTCTAAGCAAAAAGGCCTAAATTCCTGCTTCGTTATTTAACTAATAGAAAAAACTAATGTTTACTTCTTAGTTCAGAAGAGGCCGAATTCGAATATAATTGTCTCGTGGTGAGTATAGTTTCTGTATCATCATCATGAAATTTTTGCGATGTACTAAGTTCTCCTAACAGACTCAAATTTGTCGAAAATGTGTCATCTTCTCGCCACGGCTCTATGTAAAAACTGGTAATTCCGTCTAAGTCTGGCCGATGAGCGATAGAGTTGGAGTTGTCCAGATCCCTGATTGCCTCGACATAGTCCTCGTCAGCAGTCACCCGTTGTCGATTATCTTTAGGCAATGTTGATGCCTTCGTTGAATGAGACAAGGGAACCGGTGGTATGTAGTGTAGCAGCCAGTTGGTCTGGTAGCGCCGTTTTAACTCAGTAATGTAAGAAAGTTCATCACGAAACTTCTCTTGTGGAAAACGTGACTTTGTCACGTCTGGTGCGGCCTGAGAACAGGATGTCGCGATGCTTTGACTTCCATCTCCTTCAAAGACTGATAAAAGACAAAACGATTTAGACAGATACCTCAAGAATAAGCATAATGACATACAATTTCAAAAATGTCTGAATGAACCTGTACCTTTCACATTTTATCTTTGAATTATACTTCCCATTGAGCATCTGAAATAAGTTTCCTTGAATAGGTTAAAAAATTTCTATATTTCGGTATGTAGAAACATTGCGTTTCGAAAAATTCCTCACTTGTTTGATATCGGAATACCTACATTTCGATTGAAGAGGCGCGTAG